CGGAAAAACTTTTGTTACATTTTTGTCAAAAACGCTCAAACTAAAAAAATCTTTTTTTTCCGTAACAAGAAAACACAGGGTTGCTTGAGGCTACTTTTATCAACTTTGATAGTTTAATTGAGCAAAACACATCGTTTCTTTACCTTTTTTGAGTGTTCTGGTGAAAAAAAGGGCCCTTGTTCTTGAGAGCACTTAAGTTTTTCCTTTTTTTTTCTATAACGGATTTAGGGAGGTTGGGAAGGGGGGGGGGTGGACGCAGATGCCTTTCTCCCTGAAATATTCGACCCTTGCCGACCCAAAGGTTTCCCCTTTGTGCTTTTTTGAATTATCCATTTTTGGCTGACTGACCCTAAAGTTTTTCTAAAGGTGCATTTGACGCCAAAAAAAAATAATATTGAGGTGGGAGCTTGCGCCAAACAAAACGCGACTTTTTGACCAGAAATTTTCCAAAAAGTTTCTAGAAAACGCCTTTTTGAGATTTTTTTTTCAAAATTCGTCTGCGGCTCAGAAAATTTTAGTCAGAATAGTTTCTTTTAAATGATTTGGTAAGGCTCAGAGAATCAAATTGGTCAAACTAGAAAAAAAGGTCGACAAAAAAAGTCTTAATTTTCTGCAAACGTGGGATTTTTGCAGTTTTGGCACCCTCGAGCCGTTGGTTTCAGCAAAAAAGGTTTATCCCGCATCTGAGTTCACTAAATCACAAACAATTACAATGTCTGTTTTCAGTCACTCTCTGTTAATTTGTTGATTTGTTACTAGGAGCGAAATTTACCACTTCGAGCTTTAAGTGGCGTGTTGGGGTATGATTTTCTCAAAAGATCTCACTATAAAAAAATATTTTTATTACATCTAAATTTTTTCAGGTTTTTATTGCTCTATCGACCTTAAAAGACAGTCGGAACATTCAGGGTATTGCGTTGATATGAACGATTTTGTTTTAATTGAAATCTGTTTTGGTTTAAAAGATGTTATGTTTTTTTGTGCTTTTTTCATTTTTTGTACAGATTTCCACTTTTAATTTTTGCTGCCTTTTATTTTTTTTAACTAATTTAGTTCGCTCCTCCATATAAAATTTTTTAAATCAACAAAGCTCCAATAATTTTGCTCTGACCCAATGCCCCTTACTGTCGTTAAATTCACTTATTAAGTCAGAACGTCTTATTAGATTCCACACCGAGAAACTTTTTTAAACATTTTGAAATTCCGAGCCATAAATTTGGGGAGGGGTCGGTGCGTTTTATAAGCGATATCTTTTTCCAAAAAAAATTATGGGTAAGCTTAGTAATTGATTAGGCTAAGTACCGCGGAAAAACTTTTGTTAAATTTTTGTCAAAAACGCTCAAACTAAAAAAATCTTTTGTTTTTATTTCGTAACAAGAAAACACAGGTTTTGCTTGAGGCTACTTTTATCAACTTTGATAGTTTAATTAAGCAAAACACATCGTTTCTTTACCTTTTTTGAGTGTTCTGGTGAAAAAAATGGCCCTTGTTTTTGAGAGCACTTAAATTTTTCCTTTTTTTTCTATAACGGATATAGGGAGGTTGGGAAGGGGGGGGGGGGGGGGGTGGGCGGACGCCGATGCCTTTCTCCCTCAAATATTCGACCCTTTGTGTTTTTTTGAATTATCCATTTTTGGCTGACTGACCCTAAAATTTTTCTAAAGGCGCATTTGACGCCAAAAAAATAATATTGAGGTGGGAGCTTGCGCCAAAAAAAACGCGACTTTTTGACCAAAAATTTTCCAAAAAGTTTCAAGAAAACGCCCTTTTGAGATTTTTTTTTCGAAATTCGTCTGCGGCTCAGAAAGTTTTAGTCAGAATAGTTTTTTTAAAATAATTTGGTAAGGCTCAGAGAATCAAATTGGTCAAACTAGCAAAAAAGGTCGACAAAAAAGGCTCTTCATTTTCTGCAAACGTGGGATTTTTGCAGTTTTGGCACCCTCGAGCCGTTGGTTTCAGCAAAAAAGGTTTATCCCGCATCTGAGTTCTCTCAATCACAAACAATTACAATCTCCGTTTTCAGTCAGTCTCTGTTAATTTGTTGAATAACCGATTATTGTTCCAAGTTTTCCAACGAAAGTAACGAAAGATTTTTGCTCGAGCTGGGTTTTTTTCTGTGACGGATTTGTTTTATATCACTCAAAAAATATTGTTGTCCGGAGTTGAACTTTGAAAGAATATTTCACCTGTAACTGTGATCACTTTTCCTAAAGTTGTGGGTGTTCAAACACTGCCATTTTGGTCAGTTTGGGAAAATTATTGCGCAATTTTTTTCGCGCTTTTAACGCGTGAGCGGATATTTTCTACGTCTTGAAAATTGTTCCAAGTTGGTTGGCAGAAGCTTTTTTTGCAATTTTTGATTTGTAATTAGGAGCGAAATTTTTCACAAAAACGCTCAAATAAAATTTTTTTTTTGTTTTACTACAATTACTTTTTCTTGTTATTACTGCTCTTTAGACCTTAAAAGGCAGCTGAAGCACTCTGAGGCAGCTGAAGCTGATAAGGGCAGGTATGTTTAATTGAAGTTTATTTTGACTGAAAAGCTGTTAACTTATTTTGTTTTTGTTTCTTTTTTTTGTACATTTTTTGCGCGTTTCAAGTTTTGCTGCCCTTTACTTGTCTTTACTATTTATCGCCGCTCCCCCATATGAAAATTTTCTTAATCAAAAAAACTCAAAACTTTTTGACGCCCCTCATTTACATGAAAACCACTTATTCAGTCAGAGCGTCCTTGTATTGTCGACTCCGAGATAATTTTTGAAAATTTTTTTAAACTCCGAGCCATAAATTTGGAGAGCGGGTCGGTGCATTTTATGAGTGATATCGCTTTCCGAACAAAAAATATGAGCCCCCATTAGCCCCCTTGTAATCGATTAGGCTAAGTAACTCGGAAAAAACTTCGTAACAGGAAAACACATGTTTTGTTTGAGGCCATTTTCATCAATTTTGATAGTTTAATTGAGCAAAGCACATCGTTTCGTTACCTTTTTTGAGTGTTCTGGTAATCAAAAAAATGTCCTTGCTTTTCAGAACACACTATATTTTTTCTTGTTTTTCTATAGATGTAAGAAGAAAACCTCAAAAATGTTGTCTAAAAAACTGCCCTGCTTCTTTTCCTCTTTTATGAGTAAGAGAGGCGCCTTTTTGTGTTCTAAATTAAAGTAAGAGCTCCCTGATTAGATGATTTTTGTATATATTCTTTTCCTTTGGTTTTAAAATTATATTTTTCGTATGGTTTATAGATAAAGTGTTATGCGGTACCTTGTTTATAAATGACCGACATCTGTTAATTGCATGGAGTATTCTAAAATTCCTCAAGTCTTATTTTGTAGTAAAAACATTATCATATTTTTTATATATAAGCATATAATTTTTTTCGCTAATTTTTTTCACGTTATTTTTATTGGACTTTATTTTGTTCCACTGCTCTGCTTTGCGTCTTCAACGAAGCTTAGGTATTATTACAGATCTACTCAACATGGAATAGGAATAAGCCAATATCGAGAATGCTAGCTGCTTTCAAATCTTTACTGGAGAAACGCCGATACCAATTTCAATCTGCTTCCCATTTCAGCAGGCTCAACTTCAAGCTAACCACAGGAACGCATCTTCTTGACTTTTTTGCTGATAGGAATATGAGGCAGCTGTAACGTGTCATCAAGTGTAAAATCAGAATTCAAATCAGAAGTAGAATCAGAAGTCCATATAGCGACTCCTTGTGTTAATATGAAACAAGTAGTGCAACGCCACTGTCTATTTTCTGAACGGTTATAATCAATGAAAAAAAAACTTTCTATACGGTTTTTTAATGAAAAACCATATTACGACAGAGATAATTTATTTATTGAATGTGTATTCTAATAAAAGTAACCACGTGCGCCATATTTTACTTGTTGATAAAAGCTATGTTATTTTTCAACGAGCAAATCAAGAACATTGACTTAACCGGGTTTTTTATAGTGATTGCTTGTCGCAGTTATTTGGTTTACAATTGTCAAGTTCCTAAGGGTACATAAACGTATGGGGGAGAGAGCTGAACAAAATTTTAATAATTATATGAAAAAAAAACTTTCTTTGAAAACTGTAAGGTTCAGTTTAAAAAACTATTGCAGTTACTGTAAAGGGCAGTGTATGAGCATCTGTAAATCGGCTTTTAATTTTAATTGCTGGTTTGAACATAGTTATAACAATTTCGTTGGTATATTTCAATTTCTTCTTCTATCTCCTCGCGTTATCTGTGAAGTATTGGTTTCTAGAAAATTATTTAAACAGTGCTTGTGAAAATGAGGTCATATGTCCTAATGAGATTCTTAACAAATTTATAGGGAGAGGATGGTAATTTTGCCTTCAATTAATTGATCGGAAAAATGTAAGATTAATCGAAAGTTTCTACTTATTTTTACGTTTTGTCAACAAAAATTGGCGCAATTACGTCGACAAGTAGGACGTTTTCGATTAAGTGAACGTATTAGCCAGGAATCATTAAACTCATTGCAGCCGAGGATTTTTCATTGAATGATATTCTCAGAGTCCAAAACGTGGAAATCATATTTTTTTTGCTTAATCCACTTATAATATTCGATTTTCTTCATTTCTTTATTTGTTATAAAATCTGTCCGGATACAAAGTATCAAATGGAGTAGCCTTGAGATCAAATCATCCTTGAGATCGGATGTAAGGTAGACGTATAGTATGGCAGACGTCTTGGTACAGTAGACGTCTAAGGGGCACTGTGTGCCTTTTGTCTGTCCTTCTCATCAGGCGCTTTCAATTTTTATTAGGAATTGATTCTATAACCTAATTGCATTATTTGTTCTATCACTGTTGGTCAAATAATTTCTTTCTGTCTTACTAACCTTTCAACTTTAAAGTTCTAAAACATGGAATTTGGTGCCGGTGAACTCGTAAAAACTCTTTTGGTCTATCAAAACTGTCACCCAGTGAGCGTTCAAATTTGCTTTTAAAGTTGTCCGGTTTCATTTCGACCTTGTATCTGCCTTACAATTCATTCGTTAAATTAGTTTAGATGTTTCGTTCGCTTTTAGGTCAAAGCCCATTCTACTTTTGTATTGTCCTAGAAATTAATTGAGAATATAACTGATGAAAAAGTGTCAAATTTTGCTCCTTTTTGCAGGTATATAAATTTCAATTTTGAGCTCTAAATATTTCTGTGGCAAGAATTCGTAACAGATGAATAATCGTATCAAAAAATAAGACACATTTGAACAATCTCGGGTCTCATGCACTAAACGGCCCAAAATCAGTATTTCTACATCTTTCTTGAACTATAAATAATATGGTTGAATCTGATTGGCTAATCAGACTCTCAAATTCAAAAAACATGGTACGGCCTTTCGATTAAAATTCCAAGCAGATAAAATCAGCCGAAATGAAAAAATTATAAGACTTTAATTCTGCTGAAGTCTTTTTACGAAGTTTTTTCGATCCGAGCAAAATTGCCCAGGTTACTTGAAAAAAAATAGACTAAGTTAATTATTTTGGTATTTTCGGCTAATTTTTTTATCTGCTTCAAGTTTTGATTGAATTGCCTGAACATGCTGCTTGAATTTGAATGCCTAATATTAGCCAGTCAGATTCGACTGTATAAGTGTTAACTCATGAGATAAGACCCACAATCTCTCCCCTGAACAGACCAAGTGAACAACCTCCCCCTAAAATATATGGCAAACTCAAACAGTAAGGCCTGTATGTACAATGCTCAAAGCTGATAGGCTGAAAACGTTAGTTTTAACCAACTGATTTCTCCCCCCTTTTTTTCGATTTAGGGGGTACATTGTTCAGTTGGTTCAAAGATTAAGATCACTGAGCGCTGATTGATGCGCACTCAAGATTGAGGACAGGATGCGCACACTCAAGGTTGAGCACTGATACACATGCTCTTAAGATTGAGCACAGATTCACGCGCACTCGAGCACTGACTCAAGGGCGCTCAAGATTGAGCGCTGATTCACTCGCAATCAAGATTAAGCACTGATTCACACGCACTCAAGATTGAGCACCGGATGCGTGCACTGAAGATTGAGCGCTGATTCACTCGCAATCAAGATTAAGCACACGTTCACACGCACTACAGATAGAGCACTGGATGCGCGCACTCAAGATTGAGCCCTGATTCACTCACACTTGAGCACTGACTCAAGAGCACTCAAGATTGAGCCTTCATTCACTCGCAATCCAGATTGAGCACTGGTTCACACGCTTTAAAGATTGAGCACTAGATGCGCGCACTCAGAGTTGAGCACTGATACGCACGCTTTCAAAATTGAGCTCTGATTTACGCGCACTCGAGCACTAATTCAAGAGTACTCAAGATTGATCACTGATCATTTCGCAACCAAGATTGAGCACTGGATGCGTTCACTCGAAATTGATCACCGATTTACTCGCAATCAACATTGGGCACTCGTTCACACGCACCCAAGATTGAGCACTTATTCACTCACACACAAGATTCAGCACTGATTAACGCGCACTGAAAATTGAGAACTGATTCACTCGCAATCAAGATTGAGCACTGGTTCACACGTTTTCAAGATTGAGCACTGATTTGCATGCTTTCAAGATTGAGCTGTGATTTACGCGCACTCGAGCACTGACTCAAGAGCACTCAAGATTGAGCACTGATTCACTCGCAATCAACATTGGGCGCTCGTTCACACGCACTCAAGGTTGAGCACTGATTCACTCACACAAAAGTTTCAGCACTGATGAACGCGCACTCAATATTGAGTACTGATTCAAGCGCATTCAAGGTTGAGCACTGATTTACGCGCACTCAATGTTGAGAACTGAATACTGCGCACTCAAGATGGAGCCTTGGTGCACGCGCACTTAAGATGGAGCAATGATTCATGCTCACTCAAAATTGAGCACTGATTCACTCGCAATCAAAATTGAGCACTGGTTCACACGTTTTCAAGATTGAGCACTGGATGCCCGCACTCAAGGTTGAGGACTGGTTTACGCGCACTCAATGTTGAGAACTGAATACTGCGCACTCAAGATGGAGCCTTGGTGCACGCGCACTTAAGACGGAGCAATGATTCATGCTCACTCAAAATTGAGCACTGATTCACTCGCAATCAACATTGGGCACTCGTTCACACGCAACCAAGATTGAGCACTGATTCATTCACACACAGGATTCAGCACTGGTTAATGCGCACTGAAAATTGAGAACTGATTCACTCGCAATCAAAATTGAGCACTGGTTCACACGTTTTCAAGATTGAGCACTGGATGCCCGCACTCAAGGTTGAGGACTGGTTTACGCGCACTCAATGTTGAGAACTGAATACTGCACACTCAAGATGGAGGCTTGGTGCACGCGCACTTAAGATGGAGCACTGATTCACGCTCACTCAAAATTGAGCACTGATTCACTCGCAATCAACATTGGGCACTCATTCACCCGCACCCAAGGTTGAGCACTGATTCACTCACGCACAAAGATTCAGCACTGATTAACGCGCACTGCATATTGAGAACTGATTCACTCGTAATCAAGACTGAGCAATGGTTCAAATGTTTTCAAGATTGAGCACTGGAAGCGCGCACTCAAGGTTGAGCACTGATTTGCATGCTTTCAAGATTGAGCTGCGATTTACGCTCAATCGAGCACTAATTCAAGAGTACTCAAGGTTGATCACTGATTATTTCGCAATCAAGATTGAGCACTGGATGCGTTCACTCGAAATTGAGCACTGATTTACTCGCAATCAACATTGGGCACTCGTTAACACGCACCCAAGATTGAGCACTTATTCACTCACACACAAGATTCAGCACTGATTAACGCGCACTGAATATTGAGAACTGATTCACTCGCAATGAAGATTAAGCACTGGTTTACACGTTTTCAAGATTGAGCACTGATTTGCATGCTTTCAAGATTGAGCTGTGATTTACGCGCACTCGAGCACTGACTCAAGAGCACTCAAGATTGAGCACTGATTCACTCGCAATCAACATTGGGCGCTCGTTCACACGCACTCAAAGTTGAGCACTGATTCACTCAAACAAAAGATTCAGCACTGATTAACGCGCACTCAATATTGAGTACTGATTCAAGCGCATTCAACGTAGAGCACTGATTTACGCGCACTCAATGTTGAGAACTGAATACTGCGCACTCAAGATGGAGCCTTGGTGCACGCGCACTTAAGATGGAGCAATGATTCACGCTCACTCAAAATTGAGCACTGATTCACTCGCAATCAACATTGGGCACTCGTTCACACGCAACCAAGATTGAGCACTGATTCATTCACACACAGGATTCAGCACTGATTAACGCGCACTGAATATTGAGAACTGATTCACTCGCAATCAAAATTGAGCACTGGTTCACACGTTTTCAAGATTGAGCACCGGATGCCCCACTCAAGGTTGAGGACTGGTTTACGTGCACTCAATGCTGAGAACTGAATACTGCGCGTTCAAGATGGAGCCTTGGTGCACGCGCACTTAAGATGGATCACTGATTCACACTCACTCAAAATTGAGCACTTATTCACTCGCAATCAACATTGGGCACTCGTTCACACGCACCCAAGATTGAGCACTGATTCACTCACGCACAAAGATTCAGCACTGATTAACGCGCACTGATAATTGAGAACTGATTCACTCGCAATGAAGATTGAGCACTGGTTTACACATTTTCAAGATTCAGCACTGATTTGCATGCTTTCAAGATTGAGCTGTGATTTACGCGCACTCGAGCACTGACTCATGAGCACTCAAGATTGAGCACTGATTCACTCGCAATCAACATTGGGCGCTCGTTCACACGCACTCAAGGTTGAGCACTGATTCACTCAAACAAAAGATTCAGCACTGATTAACGCGCACTCAATATTGAGTACTGCTTCAAGCGCATTCAACGTAGAGCACTGATTTACGCGCACTCAATGTTGAGAACTGAATACTGCGCACTCAAGATGGAGCCTTGGTGCACGCGCACTTAAGATGGAGCAATGATTCACGCTCACTCAAAATTGAGCACTGATTCACTCGCAATCAACATTGGGCACTCGTTCACACGCAACCAAGATTGAGCACTGATTCATTCACACACAGGATTCAGCACTGATTAACGCGCACTGAATATTGAGAACTGATTCACTCGCAATCAAAATTGAGCACTGGTTCACACGTTTTCAAGATTGAGCACTGGATGCCCCACTCAAGGTTGAGGACTGGTTTACGTGCACTCAATGTTGAGAACTGAATACTGCGCGTTCAAGATGGAGCCTTGGTGCACGCGCACTTAAGATGGATCACTGATTCACACTCACTCAAAATTGAGCACTGATTCACTCGCAATCAACATTGGGCACTCGTTCACACGCACCCAAGATTGAGCACTGATTCACTCACGCACAAAGATTCAGCACTGATTAACGCGCACTGAATATTGAGAACTGATTCACTCGCAATGAAGATTGAGCACTGGTTTACACGTTTTCAAGATTGAGCACTGATTTGCATGCTTTCAAGATTGAGCTGTGATTTACGCGCACTCGAGCACTGACTCATGAGCACTCAAGATTGAGCACTGATTCACTCGCAATCAACATTGGGCGCTCGTTCACACGCACTCAAGGTTGAGCACTGATTCACTCATACAAAAGATTCAGCACTGATTAACGCGCACTCAATGTTGAGAACTGAATACTGCGCACTCAAGATGGAGCCTTAGTGGACGTGCACTTAAGATGGAGCAATGATTCACGCTCACTCAAAATTGAGCACTGATTCACTCGCAATCAACATTGGGCACTCGTTCACACGCAACCAAGATTGAGCACTGATTCATTCACACACAGGATTCAGCACTGATTAACGCGCACTGAATATTGAGAACTGATTCACTCGCAATCAAAATTGAGCACTGGTTCAGACGTTTTCAAGATTGAGCACTGGATGCGCGCACTCAAGGTTGAGCACTGATTTGCATGCTTTCAAGATTGAGCTGTGATTTACGCGCACTCAAGCACTGACTCAAGAGCACTCAAGATTGAGCACTGATTCACTCGCAGTCAACATTGGGCGCTTGTTCACGCGCACTCAAGATTGAGCACTGATCACTCACACACAAGATTCAGCACT